TGCCTAAACAGACAACTAAATCCTGTGTCTGAATCATAAAGTTAGTTATTAATTTTACTCCATCTCCCTACTAGTGCAAGACTATTGTACATTTTTTAGTATCTGGTTTAGTTTTAAATGTCCCAAGGAGGGCTGTTAACTAATCACAGTTAACTCCTGCAATTAACTCAAAAAACCATTAATCGCCATTATTCACAGGTTTAATTGCACTGTTAAACAATAGAATGCCAATTGAAATTTATGAAATATTTTGGATGTTTTTCTACATTTTCAAATATATTGATTTAAATTACAACAAGGTTACAGTGCTCATTTTATATTTTTTATCACAAATATTTGCACTGTAAAAATAACATTAAAAAGAAATAGTATTTTTCAGTTAACCTCACACAAGTACTGTAGTGCAATCTCTTTATCATGAAAGTGCAACTTACAAATGTAGACTTTTTGTTACACAACTGCACTCAAAAACAAAACAGTGTAAAACTTTAGAGCCTATAAATCCACTCAGTCCTACTTCTTGTTCAGCCAATCGCTAAGGCCTGGTCTACACTGGGAGGGGTATCGATCTAAGATACGCAACTTCAGCTATGAGAATAGTATAGCTGAAGTCGACGTATCTTAGATAGACTTAGAATCACTTACTTCACATCCTCGCGGCACGGGATCAATGGCGGCTGCTCCCCTGTCGACTTGGCTTCCGCCTCTCACTGTGGTGGAGTTCCAGAATCAACGGCAGAGCGATCCGGGATCGATTTATCACGTCTACACTAGACACGATAAATTGATCCCCGATAGATCGATCACTACCTGCCAATCCGGCGGGTAGTATAGACATGGCCTAAGAGAAACAAGTTTGTTTACATTTATAGGCGATAATGCTGCCCACTTCTTATTCACAATGACACCTGAAAGTGAGAAAAGGCGTTTGCATGGCACTTTTGTAGCCAGCATTGCAAGGTATTTACTTGCCAGATATGCTAAACATTTGTATGCCCCTTCATGCTTCGGCCACCATTGCAAGAGGATGTGCATTCATGCTGATGACACTTGTTAAGAAAATAATATCTTAATGAAATTTGTGACTTAACTCCTTTGGGGTGAATTCTATGTCTCCTGCTCTGTTTTACCTGCATTGTGCCATATATTTCATGTTATAGCAGGCTCGGATGGTGATCCAACACACATTGTTCATTTTAAGAACACTTTCACTGCAGATTTAATAAAATGCAAAGAAGGTACCAATGTGAGATTTCTAAAGATAGCTACAGCATTTGACCCAAGGGTTAAGAATCTGTAGTGCCTTCCAACATCTGAGAGGGACGATGTGTGGAGCATGCTTTCAGAAGTCTTATAAGAGCAACACTCTGATGTGGAAACTACAGAACCTGAACCACCAAAAAAAGAAAATCAACCTTCTGCTGGTGGCATCTGACTCATATGATGAAAGCAAACATGTGTCGGTCCACACTGCTTTGGATTTTTATCAAGCACAACCCGTCATCAACTTGGACGTATGTCTTTTGGAATGGTGGTTGAAGCATGAAGGGACATGTGAATCTTTAGTGCATATGGCATGTAAATATCTTTTGAAGCCAACTACAACAGTGCCATGTGAATGCCTGTTCTCACTTTCAGGTGACATTGTAAACAAGAAACAGGCAGCATTATCTCCTGCAAATGTATGCAAACTTGCTCTTCTGAGCGCTTGGCTGAACAAGAAGTAGGACTGAGTGGACTTCTAGGCTCTAAAGTTTTTATTTTGTTTTATTTTTGAATGCAGTTATTTTTGTACATAATTCTACATTTGTTAATTCAATTTTCATGATAAAGAGATTGCACTACAGTACTTGCATTAGGTGAATTGAAAAGTACGATTTCTTTTGTTTATTACAGGGCAAATATTTGTAATAAAAATAAATATAAAGTGAGCACTGTGCACTTTGTATTCTGTGTTATAATTGAATTAAATATATTTGAAAATGTACAAAACATCAAAAATATTTAAATGAATGGTATTCTCTTATTGTTTAACGGTGTAATTAAAACTGCGATTAAACACATTTAATTTTTTTAATCGCTTCGCAGCCCTAATTCCAAGTCTTGGGGCTTTTACCATCTCTTTACCACAGGTTAGAACAGCTCACTGCAGGAATATTACTTGATGTAAAGCTATTTTTCCCTTTTAACCAATTACATTTGGTTGAAATGCTAAATAATTCTATCTCTCCTTTCAGCAAAATCCTACACCCAATGAAATCAACTGGATATTATACCATTGACTTCAGTGGGGTCAGGATTTCATCCTTTGTATCTGTATCCTTCATACAATTCCTGATCTCTACTGTACTTCTGCTTAGTTATCACATTAGCAAAGCTTCTGTATAGCATATTACAACCACTTATTCTTTCCTCCTAAATCTGTCCCACAAACTCCCTAATATTTGGTTTTTTTCTGAATACACTCCAGATTGTAAATATTTGTCTGGCAATGAGGGTTTCCAGAACCTGAGCTAAAGGTCACTGAGGTTAATGACTCTTTCCAGCGGGGTTTGGATTAGGATTAGACTATAATACACTATTGTAGCTGTAGTCCCCTTAATATTTTGTGCATAACTTTTGTTCTGTGACATGATGTTTCTTCATAACTGTTTAATCTTAAGAACCAAAGCAAAAGACATAGGCAAATGCAACTGCCATTCAGCAGCAGCTAGGTAGGAGTCTGGGGAAATAAATGGAAATCCACTAAACCCATAAATAGATTCTCATACTTATTTTTTTCCTCTGACCACTAACAAGAACTAAGGATTCTCCTAGCTCTAATTTTTCAGGAGAAGATTCTTTTCCTTCCAGTGACTTGATAAGAAGTAATGAGTCAACCATTAGTTTATGGTGTAGAGAGCTGTTCTGTGAGAAGCATGAAAGTCACCTAATAAAGCAGTTATTTTAGGCCAAATCCTGTAGTCTTTAGTCACTCCTTATTCAAGCCTCCATCAAAGACAATGGAACTTTCCTATAAATAAGGACTAAGCAAGGAGCGGCAGTATTTGGCTCACTGAAAATATGTTCTGTGTAATATTACCTTCACAATCAGATTCAACAGTAACTTCTAGTCACCGCTGTTCCTGTGTTATTGCTGGCTTCTTCTTTCTGTTCCTTTAGTAGTAACAGTAGTAAAGGAAAAGCTTAAAGTCAATATTTGGTGCATGTGAAAGAAGAGACTTGAAATTGTTTTAAAATTAGGAAAAAGAAAAGGAGTACTAGTGGCACCTTAGAGACTAACCAATTTATTTGAGCATAAGCTTTCGTGAGCTAAAGTGATTCTAAAATAACATGCTTTTTATAAAGGGGCTCAGGGACAGATGTGATATCAAAAATTGCTTTTAATTGATTTTGTTAAAAACTAATTATGCTAGATTTCAAATTGACAAATAAATATTAAGTAATATTCCTTGAGCTTTATTGCTCCTGAAGAACTGCTGATAAAACTGCTACAAAATAATTATGTAAGCAGTGTTTTTTCATGCAGTGTATGGAAGTTATTTTTTATTAATATTTAAATTGTGAAAAGTGTCAAATAGAGAACCCTAGAAGATGAGTCCCTCTACCTACAGAATAGATACAGCATGGACAGGAGCAATACTAGATTCCCTTCCAATGTTCCTTAACCTCAAACCAGAAATCCTCCTATGAGGGATGAAAGTGTAACTCAGTTCTCAGATCGGTTTTGAGACAGTCAACAGTGCTGCTTGTTAGTTCCAATTAAGATGGCCATCTGACAATAATGTCAATTATGCCAAGAACTGGGCCTTAAAAAATCATCAGATTGGGCTTATCGCGTGATTTAAAAAAAAAAAAAAAGTTGGATTTTTTTATTTGCTTTGTGTTTAAGAACCTTGAAGGTTCTCATTTTTGCCTTCTTGTACATGGACTAGAGGCTTGCTCTCTTTTAAAAAATGAGAGCAGAGATTCTCATGTAATCATCTGACTCTCAGAGTTGGGGCTTAAAAAAAACCCTCCCAATATCACTGCAAGTTGGCAAATTTTTCTGTCTTACAGTGTCAACAGAACACAGGGTCAAAACCAAAAGACAAAGAACTCCACCTCAGTGTATGTTACTATTACTGGATAGTATTATTGCATGATTTAGTTGGGGATTGGTCCTGCTTTGAGCAGGGTGTTAGACTAGATGACCTCCTGAGGTCCCTTCCAGCCCTGATATTCTATGATCCTATGATTACCACAGGCTTGTCTACATGGCTTGGCAGCATGCTCTGAAGTACAAACTAAAAGGCAATATAGTCTTTTTTGAAACAGGACTACACTAACACGAATGTGGTACCTTTTAGCTTGTGCTAGCTGGCTCTACATGGGGCAGTTCCAATGGAACACTTTAGTATGTGTTTCAACTCACACTTACAAATTCTGCACTACAGGGACATGTAGACATGCCATAAGAAACAATTATATGACTGGATTTCCTTTCAGTTATATCTATTATAAAAACATAGTTGTTCCTTTCAGTTTCTAACATGAAAATTAAGGCCCTGATTCAGTAAGTTGCTTAAGTACAGGCCTGTCTGTAAGAACTTCACTGGTTCCATTGATGTCAATCAGATTTACTCATGTACCTTCATGAATGAGGGCCTGAGACAGTTATTTGGCTAAGCATGCTATAAAATAAACAATACTGATTTGCCTTACAACGGAGATTTTAAGGGGTTTCATTCATGCTAAAGTAAGAATAAAACAAATCATTACAATTTTAATTGTAAGAATACTGTGGATACTGCACTAATGAAAGCAGGATGCTATTAGGAGCTCTTTCCTTAATATCGGATACTAGGTTAATACACTAATTGAAACTGGTTGGCATTTGATTAAACCATCCAACATAACAATCATTAGTGAAATCTCTTAAAATGTTTTAAATCCTTGCCATAAAAAAACATGTCCTTTTAATGGTGTGGTATTTTTGTTTTTTGTTTTTGGTATTACAGGTAAGCACACTAGACTGGGTACGAGCTGAAAAAATCTATCACCTCTGTGAGGTTCTATTTAAAGTTCACAAGGTAGGTCTTCTGAGAATTACAGACTACATCACTTAACCAAGGTAGCTTACAATTTCCTAACATTTAACAATATAAATGATAGACTCAGCTTAATTTGATTTAGCAGGGACCAGCCCACAAATAGTTAATCTATTGCTATAAAACCAGTTCTTAATCTGTAACTATTTCCTGCATAAATATTAGATAACTTAGAATTTGGATCATCTCTGTAGTGAGCACATTTCTAAAATATTTCCAATCTGAAGAAATATTAGTATTAGTTCCTGCCATATAAACAATGAATAAAACAACTATCCATAATGAAGTCTGTATCTTATAACTTTTTAGTGGGAGAAAACCATTTTATGAGCCATTTTTTAAAAAGAAATATTTACCTTTAATTAAAACAGTGATGTTAACGTGTGGTTTAGAATGTTAGTCTAATCTGACTGTATTTTGGGTGTAATTTGTGTAGCAATGAATTTAAAATTCAGTTCATTGCTACATATTAGTGGTGCACTAGATTACAAGTAATAAACAGCCATTACAATTCAGAATGTAGTCCTATCTTTACAAAGAGCAATGCAGTTCATGTAACATCTCTTTTCATGTATCATGTAACGTCTCGTTTTTTAATATTATTTATTTAGTTTTGCACTAGGCAAAGTAACTGGGTTGTTGCGTTTTTGTAAAACAATAATTGACTTTTACATGTTTTCCCCCTTTAAAAACTCTTTTGTTAAAAGAGGAGTTGGGTGCATTAGGAATGGCTGGGTAGACAGGCAGATGTTATCCTTACTGTCCAAAGAGAAATCACTGGTGTCCAGTATGAATCACTGGTATCCCATATGTGGCCCTCCAAGCTGACTGTGTTAAGAAGAGAATTTATATCTGACTATATGTTGAATATGTGTTCCCTGAGCCATACCGTGTGGTTTTTAAATAGAAGTCTCTGAATCAGTCAATATAGGGAGGTAGACGGAGGCATCACTTCCCCTGCAGCCCATGGAGCAGCTCTGATGTGAGCTGCATGTGCTCTGATCAGCTGCTCAGCATTTCCCCAATCCACCACGTGCTGTTGCTTCATTGTCTGCTTACCTGCTGGGGGCAAATCCCCAGGGGCAGGAGGAATCAGATTAGGAGCTCAACTAACTTTGCCTAGTGTAGTGGAGTGCCTAGCAAAGGATGGCTCCTCCTCCCAACACAGTCACTCAAGGAAGCCTAGGAGAGGGGAAAATTCAGATAATCTGAGATCCAACAACCATTTTATCTGTCCCAGGCCAGTTTAGAGCATCATGGAGACTGGTCAAACTTGTACCAGCAGGCTTTATCTCCAATGGCCTGTGTGACAGCTGGGGCTCGCCAAAGAGCATCACGTTCCTCCCACTTACACTCCCTGTCCATGATGCTCCACTCCATCACTTATGTGCCCTCTGTACTGGAGGCTGTGGGCAGGGAGGTATAGCAGCATGCTTCACTAGTTCTGTGCCCACTGAGGACTGCATGTGATGGGCATTCCTGGGGTGCAACCTGGAGCTGGGGTACCGCTAGGCCCTCTGGCATACCAATCTGGGCCCCCTCTCACCCTTCTGAGACAGGGATAAACTGCAATCCTCCCCAGGTCTTGCTCTCACACAACCACTCATGAACCAACAATAGAAAGGATTCAGCCAATTCCCCCCAGCTTTCCAACCTAGGACCCCAGAGCTGTACCATCTTGCCCTGGTCAAAAGCCTGACCCATTTAAATTTATTTATGAAACCGCCCCTCCTTCACTGTGGAGAGGACAATGCACCAGCCCTGGTTCCTGAGGAGATTTCCGTTTGCACTTCAAACAACGCACTGTTTTAAGTAAAAAATATAAAACAGATTTATTAACTACAGAAAGATAGATTTTAAGTAATTGTAAGTAATAGCGTACAGATCAAAATTGGTTACCTAAAAATAAAACAAAATCACAATCTAAATTCTATACACTAGACAGGATTTTAATCAAGTAGTGTCTCTCTCTGATGGTACAAACAGTCAATCAATCTTCCATACACAGGCTCAAAATCTCTTCAGCCTGGGACCATCTCCTCAGTCCAGTCTTTGAGGTGTTTTTAGCTGTTCAGTTATGGGGAGAGTGAGGCCAAGTGATAATATTGCTTCCCCCTTTTATAGCTTCTGCCACGTGGAGGGAACTTCAGTGTTCCAAGTAAAGTGTCCAGCACAGTTAGTGGAAAAGTACAGGCACAAGATGGAATCCACTATTACATGAGCTGGTCACATGCCCTTGCGTGCTTCGATGAATCACAGCCTGGGCCATTACTCATATTCTGGCTAGAATGTTCACATGCATCACAGTGGGGTGTCAACTCCAAGCCCCCACTGCTCTGAAGGGCTCTGCTGATGCCACCCCAAATAAGTACTTTGTGTATCACCAAAGACAGAGTGCTGGAGTCCAAGCCCACCTACCCAAGCGGATACTCTCTAACCTTGTCTGTTGAAGATGGAAAGAGAAGAGCTGCTGCCACTCTTGGTAGGAGGGAGAGCCCCATGCTGCTGCCCTAGCCAGTGTGGGAAGGCGGGAGGGTTTCCTGTCACTATCACTTCAAGTAGTGAGCAAGGCAACAATTCGGGAGTGGGGTTGGGCAGGGCCTGGAGGAGCACAGCTATGTGGGGGTATGTCTAGGGCCCTGTATTGCTTTAATGCAACTCTGTCTCCATGGTGGGTGGCTTTTGCTGCCTTTGTACCATCTGAACAGCACAGTGGTAGCAAAATAAGGCAGAGAATCTGCCCCAAAGTATTGATTCTGTCTCCTTGTCCTCTTCTCAAATACATTCAGGCTAAAATGTTTGCATGCTTCTGATGTAGATACTCCTGGTGCCTTTTAAAAAGAGGTGTTTTCTTTCTCATCAGACTATTACCATTGCTGATTTGATGCTCAGTCCTTCTTTTACTATTCTGGCAAGGTTAATTTCAAGGATGATCTATCCTTACAGCAAATTCTATGGTTGCTTTTTCATTAAAAAAAAAGTGGGAAATAAACTATCTTAGACTCGACTCTTAATGTTCTTGACATTTTAATAAATGAATGCTTAATTGTCAGTCTTGGTGAATACATTATCTAAAACACAAAAGCTCAACTACAACACTTTAACCTCCTTTCTGTTGACACTTCAGTATAAATGATAATGATAGAAATTTAGAGCAAATTAATTAAAATGGAAAAAACCTTAATTTCTGGAAGAGATTAAAATTTCTCAGTTATAGCCTCTAAGACCCAGATTTCACTAGAGAAACTACTGTGTTAGAAAAGATTTTTTTAAAAGATTTCAGAAGCCAGTTGTAATTAGCACAGTTGTGTTGTTGTTGCAGATAGAAAGTAAGTTAGTAAATAGTTTTTAAAGTCCATTCTCAAGATATTGGATGCTTGCCTAACTTTAAATGTCCTATCTAAACCCAGAAGCTAAATGTGCCTTTGGAGACTATTTTTCTACAGGGTATGGATGCTTTTGTGTATATTTTAGTGTACACAGGTGTGGTGTCATTCAATATATACATTTACATACATACAGTCATATCACTTATGTAGTGGTGATAACCATATATTTAAATGAAATAACATGATTTATTTAATTTAACCAACACATTTCTCTTTCCTGCACTTTTCCTATTACTGAAAATTCATACCACTGAACATCAGCATCAAATAGACATTGGTTAAAATTCAACCCACCCTGAAAATCATAGAATTATAGAAAAGTAGGGCTGGAAGGGACCTCCAGAGGTCATCCAACCTACACTGGAGGCAGGATTTAGTAAACCTAGACCATCCCTAACAGGTGTTTTTCTAATATGTTAAAAACCTTCAATGATGGGATTCCACAATTTTGTAGATAAATTGTTCCAGTGTTAAAATATCATCATAGTTAGAAACTGTTTGCTAATATCCAACCTATATCTCCCTTACTGCGTGCTAAGCTGATTACTTCTTGCCCAATCCTCAATGGATGTGAAGAACAATTGATCACCGTCCTCATTATAACAGGTTTTTTGCAGGAGTGGTGGGTGAAATTCTGTGGCCTGCGTTGTGCAGGAGGTCAGACTAGATGATCATAATGGTCCCTTCTGACCTAAATATCTATTAAAAACCCTTAACATATTTGAAGACTGTTGTCAGGTCCCATCTCAGCCTTCTCTTTTCTAGACCAAATGTTTCCTTCTATCTCATTAAATGTGCAATTACACACCCCACACTAATAAAACTTACACTGGCCTAATGCTCATGACAGACAATATTAAGTTCTGCAGCAGTTAGAAGTTTAACACCCAATATCTCATGACTCTGCAGAGCTACAACCAGGGGACCAAATTCTCAGGCACAGAAGGAGAAGACAGAGGCATATTTCTTCTCTACTCCTCTCCCTCTCTCCCAAATTTCCAATCCCGAGGAGCAGCTGGAGGTCAGTTTCAACAGCTTCAGGTCTCTGTTTCAATAGCTAGAATGGCCCCGGGGGCTGTTCCGCTCACAGAATCACTGGAGCTCTGGTTGTGCCTCCCTGTGCCTCTGACAGCCTCCAGAATGTCCACTACTCCAGGGGTTGGCAGCAGCAGGTGGCACAGAATTAACTTATGCCAGTCTTATGCTTGCTAGTGATTCTCCAACGCAAAGGAAAATCCTATCTGCCCTATTAGGGACAGCTGTCTATCCTTTTTGGACCATAAGAAAAGTACGTAGAGGATGGAGTGCAGTGCTCTTTACTATTGAAAAGGGGAAATTCCTGGTGTCCTATGAGACACACAACATTTGCTTCTATAACTGGAAGGTCCTGAGATTCCAGACTTTAAAGCTTACATTTTTATGTGTACTGATGCTATTTTAGGATATTTTGAAGTCTGATCCCAGTTATGGGGTGTGTGTGTTGAAGTCTGAGCCCAGTTAGTTTTTCCCCCCTACCCATATATTGCAATTTCACTAACTCATGTAGAGAGGTATCCTGATTTTCACTAGTGTCCTTTAAACCCAAATCTTGCCTTCTTGTTTTAATGTGTCTCTCCCTTTGAATTCTGTACAGTTACTCATAACTAACAAAGCTACCATTACATATGAGGGAATGCAAGTAGTAATAGTCCTGATAAAAAAAATTAAAAATCTCTAAAACATTTATAAAATAGATTTTCTGTAAAATAGGAGAGATGTGAAATGGGACGTGGTTATTATTTCCATTTTGGGACTTCCCTCTGCCCAAAACTTGCTAGAACTTGGGTATTCTCCCCCACCCTAACCTGGAGTCTTGGAGGGAGGCGCAGTGGGAATAAAAAAAAAATATTTCAGCCAAGATCACCTCAGAAAAATGTGATCCTGACTGCAGACACCTGTCTACTCTTCCCATCTTCCATGTCAACAAACAGAAATAAAGAAATAGATAGAAATCAAGAGCATTAAGATGATCTGAAACTGGTAAAGAAAATGTTTTCAAATGCCATTTGGGGATTTAATTATAGAACGTCCTTATATTTTTTTTTAAAATGAAGATGGGAATTAATAGTAGCCTTCAAACCTAGTTTTGCTTTTCTCTGTGTATTTATCAAACAATAACCAACTGAAGTATTTGAAAACTTCTTATAATGAAGTATTTTAGTTCACTAAAATCTTCATTGTAAGGAGATCCTGTTATTCCCTGTATTGATTGCAGGGTATCTCTTCACTCCCTCCAGTTTCAGAACAGCACGTGTTGCTCTGGAGGACCTCTGCCACACCATATTGTCATTTCTAGCATTAGCCTGTAATAAATTACTGCATTCCCATGAGTTTAGCAGAGTGAAACCCAATTATAAAGGAAAGAAACCTTATATAATAAGTGGTGAAACTTCACTATAAAATGAGTATAAGTCAGCTGACATGCAGTTAAGTAATTCAGGGATTTCTCTCCATTTCACTGAAAACATAGGTGTCTGTGTAGCTGAGTTCATAATAAGCAAATTCCACTGTATATCACCTCTGAGTTCTACATGATTGGACTTAGATTGCAAAATGAAAGAAACTCATTTGATTGTTCTGGGGTTTTTTTAAGCAGTTCTATTTTTCACATCAGGGTGCAGTATCTGCAAGGCATAATTTAAGTAAGATAGAGTTCATTTAAGTTCCAAAAAGTACTTTTATTTGTAGAGAGTTTTTTGTTGTTGGATGGGTTTTTTTTTCAATTTGTTTTACTTTTAAAACTTTTTAAAATTGTAAGTGTACAAAATGTCTGTAACAGATAAATTGCATCAATTGGTATATAGATTAACTACGTGACCTAAAATAAGAATATAATTAGCTTAAATTTATCCCTGTTAAAAATCCACTAACTTTAATGGATTTATACCAGGTAATTATTTTCAAATCTGACTATTAGCTTAGAGGAATGCTACTATAAAGACATTTGAAAAAAATATTGTATTAAGAACATGCAAAATAAGCTCATAAATAAAAATATTTTGATTAGGTGCTTCAACCAAAAGTCCTCATTGTCTGATTTAGTCAATCAGCTGGGTTCATGTATTTGAAAGAATAATTTTTTGTCTGCAATGCTGAAACCCTTTGCAACAGGAATTGAATCTGAGTCTTTTGGTGCTTGATACAGGAGCTTGTGCTGCCTGAGCTAAAAGAGCCCCTCTCTTAGCAAGCTTATAAATTCCTATTTGACCTAGTCACCACTAGAGCGGGACAGAGTGCCACACCAAGCAGGCATGCCTTACATACTCTGCTCTCCCTTGCAAGGGAAGTGCATTCTGGGCTTCAGAGGTTTCCCCCTTCAGTTCCCTCTATGGGCCACCATGTGTCATGTTGATACTCCAGCTGGGTTGCCAGCAGCAGCAATCAAATCTGGGACCTCTGTATCTTAATGCATGAACTCTATTGTCTGAGCTGAACTCTATTGTCTGAGCTCTCTCAGCCATGGCTGTAGCAGATTCATCAATCTCTAGTTGGTCTAGCCACCACTAGAGGAGGACAGAGCACCACACCAAGCAGGCATGGCTTACGTGTCAAAAATATATTAACATGGGAGGTTTGTTCACATTGTTAAGGAAAGCACGAATTCAAATGCACCCATATAAAGTAAAAGAATATATAAATACTGTTCCTTTCTAAGCAGTTGCCCATGAACATCTGAAAAAAATCTTTATTCCCAACTCACTGATAATAAGTATCTCTGTCTCTCTCCAGCTTAGATTCCAGAGCTTAGATTCACTAAGTAGGATTCTGGAGCTCTCTTTGAGAAACTCGTCCAGAAATCCAGTGGCAGTCACCAGCTCTCTGTCAGAGCCTTAATTTGAAGCTTTTGATCCATTTTCACATCCTAATTCCAGTATCCATGGTACCTCTCCAGAATACTTGCTTGCACCTTCAGGAAGCCTTACGTCTCTCTGCCCAACCCCCTCCATCTCTCCCCCACCTACCTCCACATGAAAATATTCATTAATTTTAAAATATAACTATTTATTGTATTTAATAACGGATTGCATTGCTTACATTGGTATGTTGCAAACTATAGAAATACCTGGATTGGATTAGATTAGATGATAGAAAGAGAAATAGAGGTGACTTCATCTGTTTTGACCTTGTGAATGAGAGGGTCTGAGAGCAGTAGCCTTTACAAACATTAATTGATTCTCATGACACTGCACTGAGAAAGGTAAGTATTAAAATAACAGTTTTACAGATAGATAAACTGAGGCACAAAGCAGTTTAAATTGACAGTGAGTCAGTAACAGAACTGAGAACAGGCATTCTGATTCAAAGTTACTTGCTGAAGACATAAGACAATGCTGCCTTAATGATTTGTTTAGTACTAGTTGAAATATCACTTACTCAAACATGTCTTTCAGCTCTGGCTTGCTGATGATTGCTGGCTACAAGCAAACTTGTATTTAGGTATTCATCAGGACTATGAGCTTGAAGACCAGAGGCCATATTGTTTCAGTGTCATGGTTGGACATGGCCAGAGTCATTATTTTAATGTAGAGCTTGGCAGTGAGTTGGCAGCATGGGAAAAATCATTTCAAAGAGCAATTTTCTTGGAAGTTCAAAGAACAGGGGTAAGTAATACATAAGTTAATTACTGCAGCCATTTTATTGCTAAAATAAGTGTAACATATAGAAAATTTTAGACATTTTAATATGTTTTTTGTGATTTTTTTAAATTGATTTTCAGAAAGAAAAAGGCAACGAAAAGTACAGAAATGCAAATAACTTACAACTTTTGTACTTTTCAAATACTGCATGCTTCACTGGCTCTCCAGTATAATTATGGAACTATGCAATTTTGCAACTTGTCAAAGCAGCAAGACCAGACATACTACATAGACATAACATATTAGGGTGGGGGAACAGTAATCAAATAGGAGAAGTTTATACATGAATAGGAGGGGGAGGCAAGGCGAGGACTGGGGCGGGTGAGGGGGAAAGGGAGAGGAGAGGTTAAATGGAATGGAGGTCTGGCATTCTTTAAGCCATCTCAACATGTTTATATAGAAATGGGGTCCAAATTTCTTCAGGTTCATATAATTGCTGTCTACAGCAATAAGCTATTCTTTCTTTGGCTGCTAACTCAGACATAGTGGAATACTACTGCTCTATTCTTGGGCATAAGTAGGGCCCTACCAATTTCACGGCTATGAAAAACACATCCTGGACCATGAAATAAGCCCTTCCCCATGAAATCTGATGTCCTTTTGTTCGTAGGCATACCCCAGCAAAGGGGGCTCCCAGCTCCAGCTGGGTTGGGGAGGGACAGGACTTGTCCATCCCCTACACAGCTGCTCTGGGTGGGGAGGGGAACCAGACCAGAACCAGCAGCTCCAGAGCCCTCCTGCAGCTGGAGGAGGCTTGTGGATTTGGATCCGATCTTCCCTGTGCTGCTGGGTACACCCCAGCTGGGGGCTCCTAGCTGCTAGTCCAGGCAGGGCTGGGGCAGGACAGGATTTGATCTTTCCCTGCAGGGCTGCCCTTGGTCAATTTGGTAGGGCCCTAGGCATAAGCCCACAATTCCATTTTTGTAAAATCATGTACTTGGTGACTATTGCAGCTCTCAAGAACCAAAGTCTTGTGGCAGAGTTAAACCCAGTTTATAGGGCCTCATTTTTGGCTGAGGTTTGACTGTTGAAAACAGGGCAGTCTTTTTAACTCTTGAGTCCATCTCTTTTCACAGCTGCCTAACTATTGGACAGTCCCATAGTATGTGCATCAGGGTTCCTTCTTCTTTGTTACAGGGCCAGCTAACATCAGAAGTTAAGGCCTTCATCTTGTGCAACCTCTTTGGCGTCCCAGTAAATTTTGAATAATATCTTTTGTTGTATCAAACATAACCTGAGATCCACAAAGACATTTTTAACATTATGTAATATGCTCTGCCATTTGGATTCTTTTAAGGGCTCTGATAACTTCCCTTCCCATTCTTTCATGAACACCAAATTAATGAGATTCTTTTTCATTAGCAAAGTATACATAGTGGACATGGACCTGGGCTGTTTATGAAGCATTTCTAAGGTTCCCAGTAGTTGTGTGGCCTCTGGCAGTCCTAGGGCATCCGTACCAAACTGATATGTTAGCAAGTATCTTAGTTGTAAGTACTACCACTCCACTGAGGGTGGCAGGTTATAAGGTTGCTTCAATGTTAGAAAATGGACAAAGCCCTCATCACTGTCTAATTGGGAAAATGACTTGCAAATCTTGGTTACCCTAGGTAGGTGATTTTGCATGATTTCAATGTTGAAATTGAAACCTCTTAGCTAAGATAGGCCAGACCCTTTATGCAAATACATCCGACAAAGTGGGTATTCACCCACAAAAGCTTATGCTCCAATACGTCTGTTAGTCTATAAGGTGCCACAGGACTCTGCCATTTTTACAGACTCTTTAGATAGCCACCGCTGTAAGCACCTTGTTTTTCTCCCTCAGATAAAAAAAGAAATTGAGGAGACCTGCAGGGGGAATATAATTCATTAATACACATTCAGTTTCCACCCATGTGGGTATAAGGGTGCTAGCATGTTGGAATTGGTTTGATATCTGTGACATAATAAAATCATAATTGTGATTTTGTAGGTCTGGGAGCACAGTGCCTCCATTGGTTACAGGGAGCTGGAGTTTGTTAAGTGATAATTGTGGACGTTGATCAGGGCCCTGCAGGAAGGCTCTAATAATGCTATTAATTTTTTTTAAAATAAGGTTTTGGGATAAATACAGGTAGGCTCCTCGAAATCTGAAGTGGCCTAGGCAGAATAGTCATTGTTATTTTGTTAACCCTTCCTCACAGGTTCAGGGAGAGGGGATGCCACCTATTTGTCACTAATGATTTGAGAGAGTATAACATCTCAATTTATCTTCACTAGTTAATATTTCTTGAGATTTTTATACCTAGGTACACAGTTGCATTAGTTTACCTGTGGAAATTCCATGGAGAGAAAGCCCCTCTACATTTCAACTGGTAGATTTGGAGCAGTTCTAATTTTTTCCAATTCAGTTTGTAACCAGATATTGATTCAAATATTTGAATTAGTGATAAGAAGATAGTGATTGTTGCTTGTCACTTGGATATCAATTTTAGATTTTTAATAATCTCATAGTGAATACACTGAATACAGAAGCAAGTCTAATAATCATGTAAACATGGATTTATCTATGAGCACGCTCTCTGACTAGCATGTGTTGTGACAGCTCAGAGAACAGATGTTCCAACAAGAATATTATAATCAAGTTACCCTGATTGTAATAAATGGAAAATCAATACATTATCCTGTGGAGATTCTTTGAATAAACCTGGTTATGAAACTTCTATTCAGAAGGACTAAGTTCATCCTCTTGTTATGCCTAATGTTTTAATTTAAAAAGAGAGCAGCTAGCCAGATTCTGCTCTCATAATACACACTCGTGTGTGTGAATTGGGAGTGACTCTGTTGACATCAAAAGAGTTATGCCAGTGTAAAATGTTGTGAGTGAACCTTGCTGGATTAAATGAAAAATCTTAAACCTCAAAACTAGGAGCTCCCAGATTGTCACCACTATGTGGATGACAAAATCCATCTCAGCCTGAGTCTTTTCTCAGATATAAAGATATATTTCTCTTGAATGGGAGTTACACTGCTGTTCTGGAAGCAGAATTAGTCTCATAGTATTAATTTAATTCAGATAATCTCAGCCCCTGGTGCAAATTAGCATGGCTAATATAATATGTGCTGGTTTCCTAATGGTGGTACCCGAGCACAGTACACTCCATTATTACAAAACACACCATTTCATATCTCCAGCACATCAAAAATATACTATGCTGTGGGAGATGGTGCTGGGGAAAGGGGACGTCGCAGGGCTAAAGACGCCAAAAGAGGAATTCAGTCCTGTAAAAGCTATTGCTTTAACAAGCAAACAAAGCCAGAGGTTGCTTGGGAAAAGCAAACTGGTTGCTTGGGAAAAGATGCTTTCTTCAAGCAATCTTTGAGTCTAGTTAGTTTAGATTTTTAAATCTGTACTGCATCATTGTTTTGCCTCTTGGGTTCACTCTGGCATGCAGCTTAGTGCTTGATAACTTTTGATGTAATATAACTGGAGGGGACTCATGCCAAAACTTGACAATTGTATATACAATATGAATATATAGTGATGGGTTATGCAAACATACTGGGTCAGAAGGGGTTAAAAGACAGAACTGGCCCCAGGTAGTCCTGCCCCTCCAGCCCTGCAGAGCACGCTACAACTGGAGAAAGGGTTGAAAAGGGAGCATCCCAGCTCTGAAGGGGGGCGGCTGACTGAGCTACCCTGAAGGCTCCTCACAATGGCACCAGATTAGTCTCCCTGAGGGAACTGGACTCATATGCTGAGCCCAGTCGGGGCTTGTGACCGGAGTCCCAAGGGGAACCAATTGAAGTCACTCAATTAGAGTTAACTGCAAAGAATGAGTCAGACAATCCCCCAAACTGGTGGATATTCCAATACTTACATTTACCAAACCAGCACAAAACAGCTTCTATAATACCTCACTGGTTACCCAGAAGCCGACAACACAGTTCCCTTAAAGTAATCCAGCCTCAGGCCTCCACCCAGATACCTCAAGTATGATGAAGATTACTGAAAATCTTATATAAAAAAGTTCTACTAATCCCAAAGGATCGGACACATTACCTCCCAGGTTAATGAATGTTCCAGATCATACCCAAATACATGTTTACAGCCAATTCTTACTAACAAAACTAAAATGTATTTAAAAAGAAAAGAGAGGGAGCATTGGTTAAAACATCAGTACACATTCAGACATGAGTCAATCTTGAGATTCAGATTCATAGGAGAGATGGTGAGCTTTGTAGATGCAAAGAGTTCTTTCAGAAATAGTTCATAGGTTATAGTCCAATGTTTATATTCAGGGTGGCCCAGTCAGGACTGGGATCTCAGTCCTTATGGCTTCGGCTTCCCCTGCATGAAGCCTCAAGCAGATCTGAGATAAAAAGGATTGGGACACAAACATCTTTATACAGTTTTAGGCCTTCTTGTGACAGCTTGTAGTTCTTCAGAGAGCAATAGGCACTCATGTGGACTTGGAAGTGGACCCATTTCCTAAGTATCGCCGGTAATTATTCACAGAGACTAACATAAGGCAATTGCCTGTTTTTCTACCATTCGCAGATGATTTGCTATATATTTCAAAGAGAGATGAACACAGCGATATCCTATGTTTACAGTTCATTTAAATGTTAAAATGTCCTTTTGATCTCTGAATTAACAGAATATAGCATAGATAGGGACTGTTTGATTACATTGTTGACCTCTACCAATATATATGTAAATATACAAAACCACAAACATTATCTCCCCATATATCTTTAAGGGTTGAATTTGAGTCATTTATCCTGCAGGATGCTTATACTTAACGCTTTCTGGTCATGCGTCACAGGGCTGATACCTGGTTTCCTTTTCATCTTATCTTGTACCAGAAGCCAAGAGAGAAAAGCAGTGGCAGGAAGTGACTCATGGAGGGTAATTCAGAGGGCACCTTCTGGGGCTAGATATTGTTGACCCTCCTAGTGCCCTGGGTCAGAGCCCAGTGGAG